AACACTTACAATGGGTAAAGCTGCCCCAAACACTTTCACATGTATTCGCTCATGGTACCTGTCACACCTCCACGATAGTGATCATGAAATGTTTGAACTCCTTTATACTCTTAGAAATTGAGAATTTCAAAGACATTTTTGTTCATGTGGGTTATAGCATTGATATTTACCGTATTCAAAATTATAATATTTTAAAGTTAGATACTTATTAATTTATTTAAAAATAATAAACCTGACCAAGCACAGTGGTTCATGCCTATAATCCCAGCACTTTGGGAGGCCGAGGTGAAAGGATTGCCTGAGCCAGCTAATTTGAGACCAGCTGGGGTAACTTGGTGAGATCTTATCTCTACAACAAAGTCAAAACATTAGCCGGGTGTGGTGGTGCATGCCTGTAGTTCCAGCTACTTGGAAGGCTGAGGTGGAATGATTGTCTGAGCCCAGCAGGTCGAGGCTGCGGTAACTATGAGCATGCTACTGCACTCCAGCCTGAGTGACAGAGAGAAACCAACTCAAGTAATAATAATAATAACAATAACTCTATTCTACATTAACATACATATTTTATAAGCAATAAAAATATTTTCCAACGCAAAAAAAAAGTGAAAAGAATGACATTATATTATACTTTTGCAAATCTCCTTAATGTCTGGGCGTATAGAAGGCAATTAACTTTCCTATCTTCCTCTGCATTCAATGTGTTGTGCTATCTCAGCTCATGTAAGTTAGAGAAAATTTCACTGCATCTTTTAGGAATGAGAATTAAAGGGCAAATTAGTGTCTTAGTGTTATTACAAAAATAATTTTGACCTTGCAGCCTTCCAGGAAAGGTCTTGGGGACCGTGAGGGGTATCCAGGTCACACTTTGAGAACCCCTGACTTATGAGTTGGGAACAATTATCTGCATTTTACAAGTGAGCAAACTGAGATAGAGAGAGGTTGAGGAATTTTCCAAGGATGTTCTGCTAGAACAACTCAGAGCAGGTAAAATGTAAAAAGCATAATACTTAACCCCATGTGGTTGTTGCAAGGATTGAGTGAGATCGTGAATGTCAAGAGTTGAACATCCTGCTTGGCTTATCACCAAGCGCTCATTAACATTAAGGTTTCCCACAGGTAAAAAAGCTGAAGAAGACCAGGTGCTGTGGCTCATGCCTATAATCCCAGCACTTTGGGAGGCAGAGGTGAAAGGATTACCTGAACCCATGGTTTCCAGACCAGCCTGGGCAATTTAGCAAGACCTCATCTCTAAAATAAATCCCCCCTCCCAAAAAAATTAGCTGGGCATAGTGGCATGTGCCTATAGTTCCAGCTTCTTGGAAGGCTAAGGAGGAAGGATCACCTGAGCCCAGCAGGTTGAGGCTGCAGTGGCCGAGAGCGTGCCACTGCACTCCAGCCTGGGTGACAGAGTGAGACTCCAACTCAGAAAAAGAAAAGAAAACCTGGAGAAACTTCCCACATTTCTGATCAACTCATCACATGATACTAGCAAGAAAAAAAATAAAACTCCATAGCAGATGTTGCCTGGAGTACAGGACCTTGTCCTCCCAGACCTTGACCCAACCTATGGGATGAAAGCAAACTGGGACTACTCAGAAAACCGGGGTCTTATTCCACCCTCTGTTAGACAAATGACACTGTTCCTTGAGAAACTTGAGCAAGGCAGGAGAGCTGCTCCATTATTTACAGCGTCCTTTCTGCATCACGCTGTGTTTATAAGGAACACTCAACAAACAAAAGTGGCACCTCATATGCAGTCAAACCTCCACAAGGAAACAGTATCCGTGGTCTTCCCGACCAGGCCCTCAGCATTCCAAGTTCTCTTTGTCAACTCGTTTTTTTTTTTTTTTTGAGTAGGAATCTCACTCTGTTGCCCAGGCTGGAGTGCAGTGGCACACTCACGACCACCGCAGCCTCGAATTGCTGGGCTCAGGTGATCCTTCTGCCTCAGCCTTCCAAGTAGCTAGAACTACATGCATGTACCACTATGCCCAGCTAATTTTTTGATTTATTGTAGAGATGCGGTCTCGCCAAGTTGCCTGGGCTGGTATCGAACTCACGGGCTCAGACAATCCTCTCGCCTCAGCCTCCCAAAGTGCTGGGATTATAGGCATGAGCCACCCTGCCGGGGCCCAACTTTCTTACCCTTCATGGCCCACCTGCTCCTGCCTGCGGTGGAGCCTCTTGAGCCCAGAGTACAGATCACTCCCCTTCCATGGATTTGGGAAGTGAGTACACCTGGGGAAGTGGGACTAGTGCGGTTCACATCGCTGCACTCTTAAAACACTGCCCCTAAACAGCAGGTAAGAGAGACAGGAGCCTAAGTCATGCTGCCACCCAAGTGCAGGCCACCAGTACCTCTACCTGCAACACTGCAACTGGTCTCCCAGGTTTCTCTTTGACCTCCCAGCCCCCCACCCCACACACACACACACACACACACACAGCTCATTCTCCACCAACAGCCAAAGGGTTGTTTTTTGGTTTTTTGTTGAGTCAGAGTCTCACTCTGTCACCCAGGCTGGAGTGCAGGGGCACGCTCACGGCCGCCGCAGCCTTGACCTGCTGTGCTCAGGCGATTCTTTGTTTCAGTCTTCCAAGTACCTGGAACCACAGGAGCATGTCACCACACCCGGCTAATTTTTTGATTTATTGTAGAGATGAACGAGGTCTTGCCAAGTTGCCCAGACTGGTCTTGAACCCCTGGATTCAAGCAATCTTCTCACTTCTGTCTCCCAAAAGTGCTGGGATTACAGGCGAGGGCCACCCCGCCCAACTGAAAGGAATCTTTTAAAAGTGCAGAACAAACCGGGCTCGGTGGCTCAGCCTGTAATCCCGCGCCTTTGGGAGGCTGAGGTGAGTGGATTGCCTGCTCCCGTGGGTTCGAGACCCGCCTGGGCAGCGGGCCCTCATCTCTA